AATAAAAAATTGTAAATTTTATATAAATGAGGGATATTGTTTTGAAGAATAAATATATGAAATTTCGTATTTCTATCATATCTAGAAAATTAGTGATTAAAAAAATAGTAATAACATCTGAATTGCAATCAATGAAAAATTGATAATCTTTAAAAATTTTTAAGATGACAAAAGTAAAAAACTTGGAATTAACAGTAGTTGAAAGAAGCAAAATTTTGGGTTTTAATTTAAGTGGAGCTTCTATAAGAAAAATTTCTAAGATTATGAAAATTCCATATAGCACTGTCCAGTATACAATCACTCATTATTCTGATGAGCTAAAAAGCACACCATGAAGTGGAAGACCCAGAAAAAATTAAAAAAAGTAGTAAAAAATAATAATCGTGCTTCTGCTGACCAGATACGGGAGAAGTTCATTGAAGTTAATGGTGTTGAGATTTCTACAAAAACAATTCGTAGAAATCTCCATGAGCTTGGAATTTATTCATGAGTTGCTGCAGTGAAACCTCTGTTGACTGGAAAACAAAGAGAAAAGAGATTAAGGTGGTGTTTGGAAAAAAGAAGATGGAGTGTCAGAAAATGGAATACTGTGATTTGGAGTGATGAGTCATGATTTACTGTTTTCAGAAATGATGGTCCAAGTCTTGTCTGGAGAGAAAATGGGAGACGTTATGATATTGAGAACATTGTCCTGTCAGTAAAACATGGTGGTGGTGGGGTAATGGTTTGGGGATGTTTTTCTGGAAAAGGATTGGGTCCTTTGGTTAAGGTGGATGGAAAGATGAATTGTTGGGACTATATTGAAATATTAAGAGAAATTTGTTACCTTTAATTGAAAATGAATTTAATAATAGAAATTATTATTTCCAAGACGACAATGCCCCAGTTCACACCACAAAAGCTGTTCAAAATTGGATTGTAGAAAACAATATAGAAATATTATCAAATTGACCTTCACAATCCCCCGATCTCAACCCTATCAAACATCTTTGAGATGAGTTGGAAAGACAGTTGAAAAAGAGAAGCAGTCATTGTAAAAATGTATCAGAATTGGAAGTTGTATTGAAAGAAGAATGGACCCAAATTCCATTCGAAAAATTAAGCAAACTTATTGAAAGCATGCCAAGAAGAATAGAAGCATGTATTTCTAACAATGGCTGGCCAACAAGATATTGAATTTTTATTTAATAAATAATTTCAATTTTGGGTTATCATGAAAAAAAACTTTTTTAATTAAATTTGATACATGAAAACTAGAAACGTGAAATTTCGAATATATATTTATCAAAACCTAGGTGCATAATGTTATAAATTTCGTGTGATGTTGTTATGTAGGTTTTTTACTAATTAGTGTAAACACGTGATCAAATACTTTTGTCCAGGTAGTGTACATTTAAACACCAATATCGGATGTTTTTCCTTGTTAAAATAAAAGAGGATATTATTTATAAATTATTTTTTTGGTAACCGACTGTTCAATCGTCGAATAATAAGCCTCGCATACCATCAAGTAAAAGCTATTCTACTGTCAAATATATTTCAGCAGACAACCAATTGGAATTCGCCGGATTTTTTAAAAAACACAAAAAGACACATCCTTATGACACAATTGTTTGTTTGTTTTTTTGCGGTTTTTTTTTCCGCTATAGAAATAAATATACCTCGCATGCTAAGTAAAAGCCGTTCCTCAGTCAAATAACTATGCCTGTTTGCTAGTTGAATTTCATATAGTCAGTTTTAAAATTCGTCGTAGCTTTATTTTCCTTGCCATTTATTGTATCGGATAATAGTCGGATGTCTGCTGAATATCTGTCGTTTACGATCATCAGTAATATTAATTTTCCTTATCGCCAAATTTAGATATGATGGTCGAGTATTAGTCTAAATTTAGCACTGATTGTCTAAAATTTAGCCATATGATCTTAGCGCTCAAATTCCTCATGTTTTAAAAAAGAATAGAACTCTACAACAAATAATATTTTTGAGAAAATATCTCTATTAAATTAAAACTAAAGACTATTCTATCAACTAATAGAGCTATTTTTTTTTAAAAGGTGATTTATTATATTTTAGTAATAAATAAAATTGTTTTTTGGTAGCAGTTTGCATAACATTGGCCAATTGTTTGATTTTTTTTCCATAATCTAGATCGTCGATCATTATAGTGTTTGAAATTTCCACATTTGAAATTGGAAAAATAAACGTGGGAATATTTTTTATAGGGTAGTATTAGTAGTAATGATCACTTTCATCAAATTAAGATGGAGAATATACTCCATACGATTAAAAATGAGTTGAATTTTTTTTCGTGGCATTTTCCACTTACAACTCTATACAATAATAAAAATTTCTCATTCTTTCACAAAAAGATTCAAATATATATAGATTAAAAATAATAATTAGATATTCAGATATTCAAAGGTGATGAAAACATCGAGTCTCAAGCATTTAAATGAAAGGAATGAAATTTATGGTTTTTGTTCAATTTGTAACAGATACAATACCAATTATTCATGGTGCCAAGAATGCAATCCACAATTATTGACTCAAGGTTGGACCAGTGGTAATGAGACAATTGATGAATTGATTAAAAGTACACAACTTAAGACAACAAAATTTGATAATAATTCTTATCTTCAATGGATCCCTGATAATGATTTAGAAGATATTGAAAAGATAGGCGAAGGTGGTTTTTCAACTATATACAGGGCTACTTGGATAAATGATTTCGGAACTAGAACTGTTGTATTAAAAAAATTAAATCATTCTCAAAATGTTTCAAAAGAATTTTTAAATGAGGTATTGATTGTTATTTGTTAGATTTTTTTGAAAAAAATGGTTTAATTGTTTTTAATTATTTTTAATTGTTTTTTTTCAGTTTGAAAATTATGTCAAATTTCATCGAGCCTATTGGATCGTTCATGTTTATGGATTAACACGAGATACAAATACAAAAGAATATGCATTTGTAATGGATTATTTTAAAGATGGAAGCCTTCAAAATTATTTAACAAAAAGATATGAATATTTAAAATGGGAAAATAAACTTAAAATTCTTTTTGACATTATTATGGGATTAGAACAAGTTCATCAACAAGAAATCATTCATCATGATCTTCATGGTGGTAATATCCTACTTTGTCATGACGTCTTTTTATTAAAGTCATGCATCGCTGATTTGGGATTATCGATTCCAGCCAACCAATCAACATCAAATAATATAATTGGAGTACTACCGTATATAGCACCAGAAGTTTTAAGAGGCGAGCCATACACATTGAAATCGGACATATATAGTTTTGGAGTATTAATGTCGCTAGTGTCAACAGGATTACAACCTTTCTGTGATTTGGAACATGATTTAAATCTTGCAATTAAGATTTGTGAAGGGATAAGACCAGGATTCTCAATTAATACCCCAAAAGTTTACATTGAATTAGCATACAGGTGTATGGATGCTAATCCAGATAAACGTCCAACTGCCAAAGAAATTTTTAAAACCATTAATAATTGGAAAAATTTTGCAAAACCAAAAGAATTTGATGAAATGGACAAGGTCGAATTCGATCCCTCAATAATTATACATCCAAATGCTGTTTATACAAGTAGACTATTAAAAATCAAAAATCTCCCTCAACTTGTAAATTCAACAAAAGTCACGATCATTGGTAATTGTAATGGTAGTTATTAACGATTGATTTATTTGGCATTGAATAGTTTTTGTTTTTATCAAGTCTATTAAAATAACATTAATTATATTTACAGATTCACATCAAATAGACTTGGACGTATAGATCAATTGTTTAATTAAATTTCTGCGAAAATAATAGATTTTGTTAATTCTTTATTTATTTTATTAAGCTTCTTTCTTATTCGTTGTTAATATAACAAAAATAATAAAAATAAAATTTACACAAATTTTTTATAATAATCGTTGTTGCCATTTTCAGTTTTTTTGGTTAGATTTGCATAAATGAAATTCTTTTAAAATTTTCTTTTTTATTTTTTTTTTTTTTGATAAAAGATAAAACATGAGAGCCGGTAAACGATTATTTTTAATTCCTTTCATAGTCTACATAGTTTAATTGGTTTATTTGTTTCTAATAAATAAATTTTTTATAGTTGGTATAGATTTTGGAAATAATAATTCTAGAGTAGGAGTCTGGCAAAGGAACCATATTGAAATTATTCCTAATGAATTGGGTAGTCGCATTACACCTTCTTGTGTTGCATTTACCGAGACAGAGCGTTCAATTGGTAGCGAGGCAAAAAATAAAATGGCCACGAATCCTCATAATACTCTTTATAATGTTAGACGATTAATTGCTCGACGATATGATGACAACGAAGTTCAATTGAATATCAAGGTATTTATTTATGGCGTAGTTACACATATAAACAAATAATTAATTTTGTGTTTACAAGCACTTTCAAAAAAAAAAAAAGAAAAAAAAAATAATATTTACATATTATAGAATTTACCATTCATAGTTAGCAATAAATATGGTAAACCATTCATTCAAGTTGAATATCAATACGAAACAAAACTGTTTGCACCGGAAGAAATCACTTCAATGATATTATCAAAAATGAAAAATATAGCTGAAGCTTTTCTTGGCGAAACAGTTTCAGAAGCAGTCATCACGCTAGGTGGTCTACACACCGATTCACTGCTTCAATCGATAAGAGATGCTGCCACGATCTCAGGTTTGACTACACTCAGTGTCATTCCTTCAACATCAAGTGCAGCAATTGCCTATGCTTTGGAAAAAAAACCATCTGGAATAATTAATGTTTTGATCTTTGATATGGGCAGTGGTACTACTGATGTTTCGCTTGTAAATATCTCGGATCTCGTTGTGGAAGTTGTGGCTATCGCTAGTGACACACATTTGGGAGGTAATGATTTTGATAGTCGTCTTGTGAATCATTACGTTCAAGTGTTTGAACACAAGTATAGGAAAAATATATCGAATAATGTACGAGCTCTTAGCCGCCTTAGAACTGCATGTGAGCGAGCTAAATGTGCACTTTCAATATCGAGTCAGGCAACTATTGAGATTGATTCACTTTTCGAAAACAATGATTTCTACACTATCGTCACACGTTCAAAATTTGAGGAATTAAACGATGATCTGTTCCACATGACAATAGACACTGTAAAAAAAGTGCTTCAGGATGCTGATATGGATAAATCAATGGTGGATGAAATTATTTTGGTTGGTGGATCTTCTCGTGTTCCAAAAATTCAAAATTTGATTTCTGATTTTTTCAATGGTAAAGAATTGAATAAATCCATCAATCCTGATGAAGCTATGGCGTATGGTGCAGCAGTGAATGCGGCCATTCTTAGTGGCAACACTTCAAAAAAAATAGAAAAAGTTTCACTTGTTAATGTTGCTCCGCTAACGCTTGGCATAGAAACAGCCGGTGGTACGATGCTACCGATTATTAAACGTAATACTATGATTCCTACTAAGAAAGCGGAAACTTTTCCAACCAATTCCGCACATATAGTCATTAATGTTTATGAAGGGGACAGTCAATTTGCCAAGGATAATCATTTCTTGGGAAAAATTTTATTTGATGTTCCACCAACTTATAATGGTTCATCTTCAATTGAAGTTACTTTTGATATTGACTCTAATAGGCTTATAATTGTAAGTATCGTGTATTTTGTTATTTGTTCTTTTAAAATTATTTTAATGATTATAGTTATATTGTTTAGGTGACTGTTAAAGATTGTACTTCTGGTAAATGGAAACAATTAACCATCACAAATGATGATGGTCGGTTATCAAACGATGAGCTTGCAAGAATGAGTGTGTAAATTAAATTAAATCTGAATTATTTAAGAGGGGGATTTTTTTATTAATCAGTAATTATGCTTTGGTTTTTTAAAAAATAATAGTTGCAGATTCTGAAAGATATTGTGCAGATGATGAAAGGATAATACAAAGAATGGAAGCATATAATAAATTAGAAGGTTATGTATATAAATTAAGAAACTTACTCCAGGTAAATAATGATCAATTCAATTTAATTTAATATATTAATATAAATATATGAAGGAAAACATGCCAACTATAGCATACGCGTATATTATATATTTATGTTTATATAATCTTAGGATAAAAGGTTTTCAAGTAAATTTAGCCCTATTGATATAGAAAGATTTAATAATACCATTCAAGAAACAATCACATGGTTTGATGATAACCGAGAAGCTGGAAAACACGAGTATGATTATAAACGTGAAATATTAGAAAAGATTTTTTATCCAGTGACCAGCATATGTGAAAAAGGATTCTTTGACTGAAAAAAATTTCTATGAATTATTTATCGAATTGTCAGTATAATTTCGAATTATCGATGTATTTTTAAATTAGTTTTGGAATTTACATTTTTCAGATTATAATTATTGATATTGTAAATTTTCAAAAGTTAAATTTGTTATTATAAACAATATTTATGTGTTTATTGAATTATCATCTCAGGTGATAACATTGTTGCATCCACACTAGTGTCATTATCCTCTTTTGTAATTGTTTCAATAACATTATCATAAAGTGGAATACATGGTAATACCATCATTCTTTCATTATTATTATTATAAAATTACATGTTAATTAATTGCTTAATCAATAACAACTTATCACTTCTTTCTGCTTCCAAAATACGAAAAGGCTTTTTTAATTTGATGAATGCATCTAATCTAATCTAATAGGTTTGGCAGTCAACTTTATTATAACACTATCGTTTGACACATCAACAATTTTCGCTCCAAATAATTGCATTTAAAACAGATGTAACATCTGGGTAATGATTAAGAAATTCTTTTTTGCACCCCTATCTCTAAATCAGTCTCAGGCATAAACTCAATCATCATATTCTGTATGCTTAATTGAAGCCAATTGTTCATAGACAATAACATTTCACGTTCCACGATAATTGTTTCAGTATAATTAAGGACAGCCATATTGGTGGTATCTATTTTTTTTTTTTTAAACAAAATTAAAAACTACCAAATCTTGTAATTGTATTCTAGCTTGTTCTACGACAACACCTTGACCACGTGAAACAATTGTATTTCTACATTTATCAGATGCTTCAGCATTAGCCACAACCAATGAATCAATATTAAAACCTCTCCCAGTCAAAATACCACCGACTCTGTTTAAAACACCAAATTCATTTTGCACCAGGAGATTCAAGATGTGTCGTTTTTAGTGTTGGTCGCCAAAACTATTTTGAAGAGGCGAAAGTCAAAACTAAAATTAAAAGTTACATATGTCAAAACTAAATCAAAAATCAAAAAAGTCAAAACTAGTTTCAACTTATGGCGAAACCTTTTGGCTTTCGCACAGTTGCGCAACTCCATAGTTTTGGAAACCAACACCAGTCATTTTGAAGGCGATGGTGGATTTGGCGTATCGTAAAGAATATTAGCAACAGCTGATGATAGTGTTGATGGATAGATGGATAGTGACGGTATATGTTTTCGAGGATGTGAGAGTTTGTATTCAATAGTTGATGTTGGTGTTTGTGCTAACAGTCAGCCGCCTTTTATTTGCTGTGTAAATAATTATAATCTTTTTTACAACGAAGCGGCTAGACATATTAATATTAATATATCAATAATCCAGATTCTTCAATGTCAACGTTTGGCGTCAACATAATACTCCAAACCGAAGAAACCACTGTCGTCAACCAGTTGAGATGAAGTAATCGAAATGGGTTAAACAATTTGCAGCTTAAAAGTAATCAACCGCTATTTAAACCATTTGTGTTTTTGATTTTTCTTTGTCGTCGTTCAATCCATTTTTCATTTTTCTATATTACGATATATAAAATAAAAGTCTTATTATTATTGTCCATTTTGTAAATTCTAAATCCGGATATTCGTTCAAAAATTAACCAGATACAATATTAATATTAGTATTGGTATTATAATTAGTATTAGGATAATTAGAATATCCGTTCAAGGAAAGCTTTAAATGAATGAAACAAGCGATTGAGAAGCATTCAACAGAATATAATAATAATAATTCAATGTAGTGGTTTTCATCAACAAACAAATTTAAAAATACCTACTTTCAACAGTGAACTTTTTGTGAGTTAATTGGACTTGTTTTTGGTCTCTTGCTACAAAAACCAACTACACGATACAAATCAAAAAATTAACAAAATCAATAAAATAGAGGCAAAAAAACAAAAATTAAACAACACCTAAAGATGCTTTGAAAGTTTTTCTTGCGATAATACAGAACATGCTAAATGCCATCTAAATTTAAATTTGGGTTCGTCATTTACTGAAAATTATTTTTAAATATTTCTTTGACGTGTTAATGATTACAATTTGCACACTTAAAAGATATTAATGGTTTCAGTGATTATGTCTCATTGAACAGTGGCAATATTTACCAATTATTAGTTAATTATGGTAACATAAACATTAATCTCTTTCTTTTTATCGTCAGTACATTCAGCAAATTGTAAGTGGAATGATACATATTTCAATATTATTAAATGTTACTTCCTCTCGAATAGAAGAATTATGTAATGCAATATCAAACAAGTAAAAAAACTAGAGGTTGGAATCGTCCAAAAAATCCTTATTCGACTACTAGTTGGTCAAAATTTCTTTTAGTCGATTATTTTAGTCGATTATTTTTAGTCGACTATTTAGTTGACTAAATTTTTTTAATACTAGCGTGTAACCATTTGCTTCGCAAAATGGTCACACACTAGTCACGGGATAACATTAATTCGTGATACGTGAAACAACTGCAATAATTTCATAGAATTTGGCGCAAATTTTCGCAGATCACTAATTGAAATTTTCCGGAACCCATACTTCATTCTTAAAAAACTACTATTTATACGAATTTATAAATTGTATTTGCAAATGTAATAAATAATAAGAAA